GTGTAGAGAGGTGTCCTCTAGCATGAGTGTCCTCTCGTGGAGGTTCTATTGTACATTAGTCTTCCCATGAGAGACCATAGCCTAAACACATGGATAAATGCAGTCTCTCCTGGAGATGGTCTTTAATCAGAAACTCTGTTTCAGCTGAAAGGCTCCTCATGACTTGGTCTGACATGATAAGGTCTAGCCATGTTTTTATGCTGTAGTCTGCTCAGGGAAGCCTACTGTGTACTCTTTTGTGGTTCAAGACTTAAGAAATGAATGATAAACACAAGGTGTAAGACCAAATTCAAATAAATAAATAGTGTGTGACACATTGTTACCGAAACGTCACACACTATTTATTTATTTGGATTTGGTCTTATTACCTTGTGTTTACCTGATTGACTGTATTGACTCGTCCATTGAGGAGCTTTACTCCTCCCCGGCAGACACCATCAACAAGCTCTACAAGCTTGATACCCTAATATGATTGAGTAGAGATAAGAAAGAAGAAGAAGAGATATTGTGTTTATAATCTATAATCCAAATTGTGCCTTATCGAAATGAATGATAGTTACTTCACTGTTCAAAATGATGTAAAAACACATTCTTGATGTTCAGACCACTTACTAAATTATTCTTTGTTAAGGTACAATTTAGATTATAGATTAGAACTACAAGGTAATAAGACCACATCCAAATTAATAGTGTGTGACATTTCAGCAATGGAAAAATTAATGGGAGAGCCTGGCTCATCAGTAGTTTCACCAGTTTAAACCGCTGTGAGGGTTCACCACCGATGAACTAGGCTCTCCCATTAATTTTTCCATTGCAGTAAAGGCAGTAGAAATTGTTTATTTTTAAAAAGAATCATTCGCGCGCGTCTATAATAGTTTTGAAGTTTGAAAACAGATGGTCCGCTAATGTATCATATTTATCTCCTCTTCTCAGCAATACACCTGGTGGAAGTAATTGTAAGTTGGAATGATATCATAACAAGACAGTTTCCTACTTTCTATCAATATATTCCCTTGTTTTCATCTTTTAAATGAAAGGTCAGTAACAAGAAAGCAGTCCTTCCAAGTATAACAACATCCCTTCACACTGATGTAAAACATTTGTTCTCTTTTCAGTTAGAATTACACCCATACCTCGCTTTGCGTCGGGGTTACGTTCCAAAAAAACACGACGCAAATTGAAACGACGCAAAGTGAAAATATGTGAAGGCGCAATAAAAAACAATGGTGTTGCCATATTTTAGGAAAAAAAATTAAAAAAAAAAAAATTAAAGACTTGAATCCAAAACAACACAACTTCAAAAATCTAACAACGCACAGTGAAAATCAGTAAAAATTAAGCAGCGAAGCAACTTTGAAAAAAACGCAAAACGAAACGACGCAAAGCGAGGTATTGGTGTATGTTTGACAGATCAAATTGATATCCTAACCTGAATAGTCTTTAGACTAATACAGTGATGTCTGTATTATAAAAATGATTTATTTTGATTAAATTTTTCTTTCATTAAACTACTTAAGATACGAAAATTGCTTTGTAAAATATTCGTCAATGACATTTAGCACCATTTCCCTCATGAAACCCTGTTCTGAACAATTCTATTGGGTCACCCATTCTATTTACCAAGAAGTGATTTTCGTAAAATTATTCAAATCACGGTAAAATATTTAATAATAATATAAAATATTTGTGTTTTATTTATCGTGTAATATACTTATTGCGATGAAATTATTTTTATTTTACACTAATTTAATATGCCTCTCTAGTAAGAAATATTTAAGAAAATGTATTTGTAAATCCACATGGTCAAAAAGCAACTACATTAATATATTATATATAATTTCTTCGCTTACTTATGATCAAATGATCAAATTGTCCATCATCCTTTGTGACATTTGCCTTCATCTTTTGTTTTTAAAATGTGTGTGTGTATACACACAATATTTTAAAATATTCTAAAATGCTTTTCCGAAAAACAAAAATTACGCTTCAAAACATTTTTAATTTTAGTCAAATTGTTTTTACAGATTAAAAGTTTGATAAATTTTAATTAAAGCTGGATTTTCATTGATAATATAACATTTATTAATAGAAAATTTCAAAAATAAAATATATTTATAAGTCTATTGAATTTATTTATTTATGATTAATCAATTTTTTTTAAATAGTGGGACAAAACTAGCCAAATAAAGTATATAAATTTAAGATAAGACTTAAAAATATAGAATATATTTAATGTTCTTTTATATATAGTCCGATAATAAGTGCCTAATTTGTCTTAATATCTCTATAGGTTAATATATATAAGGATGTGAGAAAATAAATAAATAAGGTCAAGTGTTGGTATTAAAATCAAAAAGGCATATCCTAACCACGAGCACATGAGCTTTTTAGATGGCAGAGTCATATGCCTTAAGGCATATGCCTTATATGCCTTTTTAGATTTTAATTAGATTATTAATTAATCAGATAATTAAATAGAAAGGGGGGTGGGTGTTGGGCAAATATCAGGGAACAGGCTAAATCAAAGTTTAGTTGATTTCTGTTCTACTAGATGGCGCTCTGACATATAAAAAACTTAAGTGCTCATAGTCAGGATGTGTCTTTTTTGATTTTAATACCAACACCTGGCTTTTTATTATATGTATATCGTATATTTTAAACTGCATGGCACTTTTAGTATATATCACATATCTTCCAATTAGTTAGAGCCTTATAAGATCCTACTCTTCTATTAAAATGTACACCTTTTCTATTTGCTACCACCCCCATATTTTGAATATATGCTATATCTTTATTAATATAACCTGTACCCCTTATTTGTATATAAACTAAAATTGGTGACGTCAAAATAAAGATCCAAAGAGAGAGCGGTCAGCTGGTAGCAGGGACAGAGGGGTGGAAAAAGGCAACGCCCAGCCCATGTGGGGTCCCGAGGGACATTTTTATAGACGACCCCTGAAAAACAGGAGAGCTTTTGGCGGGGGTCAGCAGCAGATGTTCTAGGAGGTGTCTCTTGGCAGACGGCTTCTGTCTAACACACACTCTCTCTCTCCATGTCTCGGTGATAAGCATCCAAGTTTGTGTCATGGCCTCTACCTCTGTCCCGTGGGCTGTCCCTGATCCCTCTCTGTGCTAATATCTAGCCCTGCCTCTGCTTCTTGTTGTCCGCGTATGGAAAGAACATCAACACTCGCCTCACATACACGACTGCCAGTTCATCCATTCGTTGGCACATTTGCAACAATATTACATATATATATACACTGCATAACATTGAAACTGAAACACCAAGAAAGAGAGGCCAGAAAGTGTTTAAACTTAGCAAACAAAGAGAGGTAGGAATAAACAATAAGTGATCTTATTTCAAAATGATAGATATAATACAGAGAGAGAAGGTCGTTGAGTCAGTAGCAAGTAGACCACCGCGGAAGGCGATGCACGCAGCAAAACGTTTAGGTAGAGAATCAATCAGACTACGATGGCGTCCTGAGGGATGGCTCTCCATTCCCTTTTAACCATTTGCCACAGTCTTCTGAACGCGGCTGAGGTAAGGCGTGCAAACGGCGTCCAATAATGTCCCAGACGTGCTCGATTGGTGAGGGGTCTGGAGAGTAGGTGGCCAAGTAAGCATATGTACATCTTGCAGAGTTTGTTGGCTAATGCGAGCAGTATGCAGTGGGTGTTATCCTTCTGATAAAGTGCATTTGGTACCCCCTGAAGGTAGGGGGAGTGTCACTGGTCGCAGCACATCTTCAACTATCGCTGAATCGTTGGGCCGTCATAGTTATCTAAATACGAACCAAAGGTGACCTGGTATCATACGCGATTGCGTCCCAAACCATAATTCCGCCTTGTCGCGCGGTGGGGCGTTCCACAAAATCTGCTGGATTGGACTTTTCTCCACGTCGACGCCGCACGCGTACATGGCTACTATCACTGGACAAACAGAAGCGTGACTCATCTGACAACACGACCCTGTGCCATTCCGTCATCCACGTCGATCTAGAGTCGGCACCATTCCAAACGTTGGCGTCTTTTCAATGGGGTCAATGGCAGTCTTCTTACCAGACGAAATGAATGCAACCAATCGACAGAAAATTGTTCTGGTTGAGATGGAATGAGCTAGAGTGTCTTGCACATTTTGCAGAATGGAGGTACAAGTTACATGTAGGTCCGCCACTGCTTGTCGAAGGATACGCCGATTCATGCGTGCTGACGTCACTCTCGCTGCACAGGCATTCCTATAAATTATCTCATTTCCTTTTACCAACCATCTTCTCCACAGTCGGTGCAGCGTGGACGTACCCAGGTGTATGTCAGCTGCGATTTGATGTATGAACCTCCCTTTTTCAGTCAGATCACCATGCCTTTCGTAAAACATCTGTCTGCTGGAACTGCCTCCGCTGACGACGGCCTGGCATTATTTGCTATTACACGTGTCTTTTTAAAACAAGAACAAAATTTCTACGATGATTTTACTTAAAGAAATAACGGAATAAATACTGTCATTTCTGCAAGTTCCTTCCCTTATATCTTAATCCACATGCGTACAAGAGCTGCGCATTTCACATCATTTGCATAACTCGGTGAGACGCGTCTACCTTGAAATTTATATAATCTTCCGGCCCTCTCTTTCTTGGTGTTCCATTTTTAATGTCGTGCAGTGTATATATATACTGGCAGACATTACACGTGTGTATGTCAAAAAAGACCCTACCTACCTTCACTGTTCTGAAGAGCTACAGAGAGTTGATCATCTCTTCAGCCTTTTGTTTGGCATTCCTGAGAAATAGGATACAATCAACTAACCTGTTTGGAATGACCCACCTCAACCCTACATCTATGGCCAGCCTTCCAAAGTTAACCTCAGCATGGAACTTCCTCGTCAACTGGTTCAACTCAGCAATCAAAACAGGGTGGAGTAAAAGCGCTTTGAACTAGTCCATACTGGTGAATTGGACTTCCCTGGGTAGTTGGCGTTCTGCGTTTCAGAATCTGGATTATAAATATCTTTCTATCATAATTCTAAGGTGGTTTCATAAAGAATCCTGAGAATTTTATGATTTCTTCCTCCTTTTAGGTAATGGACATTCGCTGGAAAAAATTCAAGTCTCAACTCCCAGCAGTTTCAAGGTGAAATCGTTGAAATTGGGCATCGCATACAGCATTTTTAAAATTCGTACTTATCCATATCAAGAAATTATATATCTTCTTCATTGAAAAAAAACAAAACAATTTCATTATCTAAAATGAGATCCAATAAAAATAATTAAAATAAATACATTCTATCATGAGTGGAAAAGAGGATATCATAAAGGATAACATTATGACAAAGAAATAATTTGTGTTGAAGTTTAAGACTCTCAATCAAGGAAAAGATTTTTATTTAATACAGTATAAAGCAAGATGTTAGAATAGCAATAAAGGCATAAAAGAAAAAAAATTAACTATAAGAAGGAAGAATTTACAAACATGCTTCTTTCAGCGCCTCCATGAGTGTTGATTTGTCAGTCACTCCTTCCAAACTCTTTGAATCCTTTCCAACATTTGATTTTTTTTTGGATAACTAATTAATACTTTATCTTGAAGATAGAGGTTGTCTGGCCGGCATTCAAATTTCTGTAAAAAAATTGTACTAAATTCGAAAAATCGCGTGAGAACGCCCTTGCAATCTCAGAACAATTTTGAACGCCTTGCCAAATGTTTTATTTTTATTTATTTCAAACGCTGAGAAAAATAAAATTTTAACTGGCCGAAAAGTCTATTTTTTTTTACAGAAAAAATAATTAAAGTTTTGATAAATTAATTAACAATTTGATAGCTAATTTTAATTATTTAATTACTGGAACATTAACACGTTATGAACAGCCGAAGCTGAACAAGTTCATCAAATGTTTTCATTGTAAGTGCATGTCTTCTTAGTAAGTAAAAAAATATATTAGTAAATATAAATAGAGTCGCGGCGCCTTGAGCTTTTTTTTTTTTTGTAATTTGTCGAAATCAAGACTTCTGTGATAATGAAAACAGAGCAATACTACTGGATGAGGATAATCCAAGAATTTTGAAGCCTTCTTTAATCGTGGTATTTGGAATCCTAAAAAAAAAAAAAGAAACAAATATATTATTCATAGAAAAAATGGTCAATTGAATTTTTATTTTCTAATAATCTGTTTTGAGAGCTCTTATCTAAAAAGAGTTAAATAATTTGATCGTTTCCAAAAGTAAAAGATAGTTTGCTGGATAAAGCTGGGCTTTGCTTTCCATCAACTATATAAAAGAAACGCATTGCCAGTAAATTTATTTGTGTAAAATTTTAACGATAGATGGCAATTAAATTTAATTTACTAATATATATATATAGTTTGTGTTGAACCGAAATATAATTTTTCTAATTGAAATTTTTAATGATGCACGTTTGAATTAAAGGTAAGTTAATTTTTTTATTTGCTTTATGAAAATATGTTTAAAATATTTGTTTACATTCCTTATTGAAGCGAAGTGTTCAAAATTTTTAGATAAAATATTCCAGCGAAAACATGTTGGGACTCAAAGGTAAGTTTTTATTATTTCTTTTATATACGCTTTCTTGAATATTTAGTAAAACACACACATTTTAAGAGAGTTTTCGACATTTGGCCCAAAACCGAGACTAAGTCTCTCATTGGTCGTGACGTCAGTGTGACGCTCAATGTAAACAAAGGATATGATTGATTCTTTTTCACGTCACTACCTCGGGTATTGTCTGATTGGCTGGATGGTTCCAACTCATCGATATAGAATTTTTTAAAAATAAAAATAATTGAAATACCTTTTGTTACTTTAATATTTATAAAGGCCGTTTTTTTCCTATTTAATATTATCTCCAGAATGTATTTTTAATTTTTATATCTCCAGAATTTTTTTCAAATTTTTATATTGGTGTAATGTTCTCAAACGTAAACAAAGAAATAGGGACAAAGTTAGGGAGACACCGTAACATACAATTAAAAATAAAAAAGTACTTATATGCTTACGTAAGCTAAAGCATACAATAAAATTAAATATATGTGTTTTAATTTTAATAATTTTAATAAATGCACGTGTTTTAATTTTAATATATTTTTATATATGCACACAATGACAAAAATATTTAAGATTGCAAATGCATACAAACGTGTTTTAAATTTTATTTAATAAAAATCTAAGCTGACAAATGCTTACGTAAGCTAAAGCATAAAATAATATTAATTAAACGTGTTTTAATTTTAATATATTTTTATATATTAAAAGCCTAGGCATACAATTATACAATAAATACAATTATATGAACATAATCGTTAAAAAAAATAACAGATAAAAAAAATGACAGATACATTTAAAAAAAAAATTATTATTCAGTGGGCCGAATTTTCATTTATTCTTTTCAACTGAAAAAAAAAAAAAAGGTTATTCGAAGAGTTAATATAGACAAAATAACTACTCACCTAACTAGCCAGGGTATATCTTTCTTATATCCTTGAAAAATTGTTTAATGAGCAGTTGTTGGCTGTTTTTATTTGTTCTTGGATCCACATAATGCTTCCTTCTCCACCAATACTCCGAAAGATAAAATTCAAGAGAATCTTTTACTTTCCTTTTCCCCACGTGTAATTTTTTTGCTGCGCCCCAGGTGGCCTCGATATTATTCGTATGTGCTCCCGTTTCCGGGTCTTTAAAATGTAGTTTGTGGTTAACCACAAGGTGGTCGAAACCTTCTTGATCCAGCTTGTAGTAGGATCGAAACCCATCCGAAATAATGGTGGTGCCAGGCAAAACCTATTTTTTTATAACCGCAATGAGAGTACGGGCCCTACGGTCGGCGACCACCTGGAAAAAAAAATCTTTTGTTTCCACGTCTACACCGCCAAAAACCCAATGTCCTTCGGAAGTTTTGGCACAGTGATTTTTAGTTTTCTTATTGTGGCCAAACAGGCTCTCGTCTATTTGCACCTGTTTGCCTTTACCACCAATTTTCGGAGGGTCGTCCAGATATAGAAGGTAGCAAACCTCCCTGCAGAAGTTAACCCAGTGCGTTACTGCGTCATCAGATACCCCAGACTGCTCTGCAATGGTCTTTATATCAATCTTTACCACCCACAGTGCAGTCATTGTTATAATTTGGTGGAGTTTTAAGGTCGATTTCTCAAACCAAGTTCCGCATCGCAAACTTGTTCTAATACTATGCACTCCAATTTTTTTAGATGTGCTTCTACATCGCCATACTACATGATCTGTGTTTGTATAGGATTTCAGTTCCATATCTCTGCCACAGTGCGGGCATGTCCTCCACATAATGCTTCCTTCTCCACCAATACTCCGAAAGATAAAATTCAAGAGAATCTTTTACTTTCCTTTTCCCCCACGTGTAATTTTTTTGCTGCGCCCCAGGTGGCCTCGATATTATTCGTATGTGCTCCCGTTTCCGGGTCTTTAAAATGTAGTTTGTGGTTAACCACAAGGTGGTTGAAACCTTCTTGATCCAGCTTGTAGTAGGATCGAAACCCATCCGAAATAATGGTGGTGCCAGGCAAAACCTATTTTTTTATAACCGCAATGAGAGTACGGGCCCTACGGTCGGCGACCACCTGAAAAAAAAAAATCTTTTGTTTCCACGTCTACACCGCCAAAAACCCAATGTCCTAAGGCAGTTTTGGCACAGTGATTTTTAGTTTTCTTATTGTGGCCAAACAGGCTCTCGTCTATTTGCACCTGTTTGCCTTTACCACCAATTTTCGGAGGGTCGTCCAGATATAGAAGGTAGCAAACCTCCCTGCAGAAGTTAACCCAGTGCGTTACTGCGTCATCAGATACCCCAGACTGCTCTGCAATGGTCTTTATATCAATCTTTACCACCCACAGTGCAGTCATTGTTATAATTTGGTGGAGTTTTAAGGTCGATTTCTCAAACAAAGTTCCGCATCGCAAACTTGTTCTAATACTATGCACTCCAATTTTTTTAGATGTGCTTCTACATCGCCATACTACATGATCTGTGTTTGTATAGGATTTCAGTTCCATATCTCTGCCACAGTGCGGGCATGTCCTCCACATAATGCTTCCTTCTCCACCAATACTCCGAAAGATAAAATTCAAGAGAATCTTTTACTTTCCTTTTCCCCACGTGTAATTTTTTTGCTGCGCCCCAGGTGGCCTCGATATTATTCGTATGTGCTCCCGTTTCCGGGTCTTTAAAATGTAGTTTGTGGTTAACCACAAGGTGGTCGAAACCTTCTTGATCCAGCTTGTAGTAGGATCGAAACCCATCCGAAATAATGGTGGTGCCAGGCAAAACCTATTTTTTTATAACCGCAATGAGAGTACGGCCCTACGGTCGGCGACCACCTGGAAAAAAAAATCTTTTGTTTCCACGTCTACACCGCCAAAAACCCAATGTCCTTCGGCAGTTTTGGCACAGTGATTTTTAGTTTTCTTATTGTGGCCAAACAGGCTCTCGTCTATTTGCACCTGTTTGCCTTTACCACCAATTTTCGGAGGGTTGTCCAGATATAGAAGGCAGCAAACCTCCCTGCAGAAGTTAACCCAGTGCGTTACTGCGTCATCAGATACCCCAGACTGCTCTGCAATGGTCTTTATATCAATCTTTACCACCCACAGTGCAGTCATTGTTATAATTTGGTGGAGTTTTAAGGTCGATTTCTCAAACCAAGTTCCGCATCGCAAACTTGTTCTAATACTATGCACTCCAATTTTTTTAGATATGCTTCTACATCGCCATACTACATGATCTGTGTTTGTATAGGATTTCAGTTCCATATCTCTGCCACAGTGCGGGCATGTCCTCCACATAATGCTTCCTTCTCTACCAATACTCCGAAAGATAAAATTCAAGAGAATCTTTTACTTTCCTTTTCCCCACGTGTAATTTTTTTGCTGCCCCCCAGGTGGCCTCGATATTATTCGTATGTGCTCCCGTTTCCGGGTCTTTAAAATGTAGTTTGTGGTTAACCACAAGGTGGTCGAAACCTTCTTGATCCAGCTTGTAGTAGGATCGAAACCCATCCGAAATAATGGTGGTGCCAGGCAAAACATATTTTTTTATAACCGCAATGAGAGTACGGGCCCTACGGTCGGCGACCACCTGGAAAAAAAATCTTTTGTTTCCACGTCTACACCGCCAAAAACCCAATGTCCTTCGGCAGTTTTGGCACAGTGATTTTTAGTTTTCTTATTGTGGCCAAACAGGCTCTCGTCTATTTGCACCTGTTTGCCTTTACCACCAATTTTCGGAGGGTCGTCCAGATATAGAAGGTAGCAAACCTCCCTGCAGAAGTTAACCCAGTGCGTTACTGCGTCATCAGATTCCCCAGACTGCTCTGCAATGGTCTTTATATCAATCTTTACCACCCACAGTGCAGTCATTGTTATAATTTGGTGGAGTTTTAAAGTCGATTTCTCAAACCAAGTTCCGCATCGCAAACTTGTTCTAATACTATGCACTCCAATTTTTTTAGATGTGCTTCTACATCGCCATACTACATGATCTGTGTTTGTATAGGATTTCAGTTCCATATCTCTGCCACAGAGCGGGCATGTCCTCCACATAATGCTTCCTTCTCCACCAATACTCCGAAAGATAAAACTCAAGAGAATCTTTTACTTTCCTTTTCCCCCACGTGTAATTTTTTTGCTGCGCCCCAGGTGGCCTCGATATTATTCGGGTCTTTAAAATGTAGTTTGTGGTTAACCACAAGGTGGTCGAAACCTTCTAGATTCAGCTTGTAGTAGGATCGAAACCCATCCGAAATAATGGTGGTGCCTGGCAAAACCTATTTTTTTATAACCGCAATGAGAGTACGGGCCCTACGGTCGGCGACCACCTGGAAAAAAAAATCTTTTGTTTCCACGTCTACACCGCCAAAAACCCAATGTCCTTCGGCAGTTTTGGCACAGTGATTTTTAGTTTTCTTATTGTGGCCAAACAGGCTCTCGTCTATTTGCACCTGTTTGCCTTTACCACCAATTTTCGGAGGGTCGTCCAGATATAGAAGGTAGCAAACCTCCCTGCAGAAGTTAACCCAGTGCGTTACTGCGTCATCAGATACCCCAGACTGCTCTGCAATGGTCTTTATATCAATCTTTACCACCCACAGTGCAGTCATTGTTATAATTTGGTGGAGTTTTAAGGTCGATTTCTCAAACCAAGTTCCGCATCGCAAACTTGTTCTAATACTATGCACTCCAATTTTTTTAGATGTGCTTCTACATCGCCATACTACATGATCTGTGTTTGTATAGGATTTCAGTTCCATATCTCTGCCACAGTGCGGGCATGTCCTCCACATAATGCTTCCTTCTCCACCAATACTCCGAAAGATAAAATTCAAGAGAATCTTTTACTTTCCTTTTCCCCACGTGTAATTTTTTTGCTGCGCCCCAGGTGGCCTCGATATTATTCGTATGTGCTCCCGTTTCCGGGTCTTTAAAATGTAGTTTGTGGTTAACCACAAGGTGGTCGAAACCTTCTAGATCCAGCTTGTAGTAGGATCGAAACCCATCCGAAATAATGGTGGTGCCAGGCAAAACCTATTTTTTTATAACCGCAATGAGAGTACGGGCCCTACGGTCGGCGACCACCTGGAAAAAAAATCTTGTTTCCACGTCTACACCGCCAAAAACCCAATGTCCTTCGGCAGTTTTGGCAGAGTGATTTTTAGTTTTCTTATTGTGGCCAAACAGGCTCTCGTCTATTTGCACCTGTTTGCCTTTACCACCAATTTTCGGAGGGTCGTCCAGATATAGAAGGTAGCAAACCTCCCTGCAGAAGTTAACCCAGTGCGTTACTGCGTCATCAGATACCCCAGACTGCTCTGCAATGGTCTTTATATTGTTGCACCAGGTTGCGGCTTGGCAGACTCTTCAGCCTTGATTCTCTCCTGTGCTGGGTCTTGCATCTTACCAGAGCGTGTTTCAACCATCCTACAAATTTATAAAAGGGAATAATGAGATAAGTCTACTTTATGTAGCCACCAGAATCATTTATTTATTTTCTCACATCAAAGAGAGCAGTGAAGTCACAGTGTACCTAAATACAAATGATGATAATCTAAAAATAATCTGTTTTAAATAAATATCATAGAATATAAAAATAAATAAATATATAATTTAAATTTCAAATATATTAAAAATAATATAATAAATACGCCATTAATCATGATGTAACAATATCAATCTTTACCACCCACAGTGCAGTCATTGTTATAATTTGGTGGAGTTTTAAGGTCGATTTCTCAAACCAAGTTCCGCATCGCAAACTTGTTCTAATACTATGCACTCCAATTTTTTTAGATGTGCTTCTACATCGCCATACTACATGATCTGTGTTTGTATAGGATTTCAGTTCCATATCTCTGCCACAGTGCGGGCATGTCCTCCACATAATGCTTCCTTCTCCACCAATACTCCGAAAGATAAAATTCAAGAGAATCTTTTACTTTCCTTTTCCCCACGTGTAATTTTTTTGCTGCGCCCCAGGTGGCCTCGATATTATTCGTATGTGCTCCCGTTTCCGGGTCTTTAAAATGTAGTTTGTGGTTAACCACAAGGTGGTCGAAACCTTCTTGATCCAGCTTGTAGTAGGATCGAAACCCATCCGAAATAATGGTGGTGCCAGGCAAAACATATTTTTTTATAACCGCAATGAGAGTACGGGCCCTACGGTCGGCGACCACCTGGAAAAAAAAATCTTTTGTTTCCACGTCTACACCGCCAAAAACCCAATGTCCTTCGGCAGTTTTGGCACAGTGATTTTTAGTTTTCTTATTGTGGCCAAACAGGCTCTCGTCTATTTGCACCTGTTTGCCTTTACCACCAATTTTCGGAGGGTCGTCCAGATATAGAAGGTAGCAAACCTCCCTGCAGAAGTTAACCCAGTGCGTTACTGCGTCATCAGATACCCCAGACTGCTCTGCAATGGTCTTTATATCAATCTTTACCACCCACAGTGCAGTCATTGTTATAATTTGGTGGAGTTTTAAGGTCGATTTCTCAAACCAAGTTCCGCATCGCAAACTTGTTCTAATACTATGCACTCCAATTTTTTTAGATGTGCTTCTACATCGCCATACTACATGATCTGTGTTTGTATAGGATTTCAGTTCCATATCTCTGCCACAGTGCGGGCATGTCCTCCACATAATGCTTCCTTCTCCACCAATACTCCGAAAGATAAAATTCAAGAGAATCTTTTACTTTCCTTTTCCCCCACGTGTAATTTTTTTGCTGCGCCCCAGGTGGCCTCGATATTATTCGTATGTGCTCCCGTTTCCGGGTCTTTAAAATGTAGTTTGTGGTTAACCACAAGGTGGTCGAAACCTTCTTGATCCAGCTTGTAGTAGGATCGAAACCCATCCGAAATAATGGTGGTGCCAGGCAAAACCTATTTTTTTATAACCGCAATGAGAGTACGGGCCCTACGGTCGGCGACCACCTGGAAAAAAAAATCTTTTGTTTCCACGTCTACACCGCCAAAAACCCAATGTCCTTCGGCAGTTTTGGCACAGTGATTTTTAGTTTTCTTATTGTGGCCAAACAGGCTCTCGTCTATTTGCACCTGTTTGCCTTTACCACCAATTTTCGGAGGGTCGTCCAGATATAGAAGGTAGCAAACCTCCCTGCAGAAGTTAACCCAGTGCGTTACTGCGTCATCAGATACCCCAGACTGCTCTGCAATGGTCTTTATATCAATCTTTACCACCCACAGTGCAGTCATTGTTATAATTTGGTGGAGTTTTAAGGTCGATTTCTCAAACCAAGTTCCGCATCGCAAACTTGTTCTAATACTATGCACTCCAATTTTTTTAGATGTGCTTCTACATCGCCATACTACATGATCTGTGTTTGTATAGGATTTCAATTCCATTTCTCTGCCACAGTGCGGGCATGTCCTCCACATAATGCTTCCTTCTCCACCAATACTCCGAAAGATAAAATTCAAGAGAATCTTTTACTTTCCTTTTCCCCCACGTGTAATTTTTTTGCTGCGCCCCAGGTGGCCTCGATATTATTCGGGTCTTTAAAATGTAGTTTGTGGTTAACCACAAGGTGGTCGAAACCTTCTTGATCCAGCTTGTAGTAGGATCGAAACCCATCCGAAATAATGGTGGTGCCAGGCAAAACATATTTTTTTATAACCGCAATGAGAGTACGGGCCCTACGGTCGGCGACCACCTCAAAGAAAAAATATTTGGTTTCGATGTCTACACCGCCAAAAACCAATGACCAGTAGCAGTGTTGGCAAAATAATTCTTTTTTTTTTTATTATGCCCAAACAGGCTCTCATCGATCTGTACCTGTTTTCCAACACCACCAATTTTTGGAGGGTCGCCATTATAAAGAAGGTAGCAAACCTTCCTACTTGGGCGGCCGCAGGCTTGGAGACGCGGGAAGGTGCAGGTTTTGAAGGACCATTCAGGTTTGTCCTCTTTGCAGGCGGGTTGGGAGCCTCAGACTGCTTCCTTTTGGTTGGAGCAGGAGCAGGCAAGGTAGAGGCAGGCTTCTTGGCAGGGATGGCAGCAGGAGCAGGAGTGGCTGGTTTGATGGGGTCAGTCTGGGAGCTGGTTTCCTTGCAGGAAGGAGCAGGGCAGGTTTGGGTGCTGTGGCAGGCAGTCTGGGGCTTGTTAGCCTCCATAACTTCGTCCAGCTCCGCGAAGGACTGGAGGGTGCCTGAGAGGTTCTTTACTTCAGCAGTGAGGGCCTTGATCAGTTCAGACCGCCTGGCGATGAAATGGACGAGGTCCTCATGCAGAGTCATTAGGGCGGGATGGCCAATGGCATGCAGGATGTCATGGTTGCATTGGATCACCATTTCGTCCTCCCTCTCCATGTTGTCGAGGTTCACGATGAGCCTCTTGGCATTCTTCTTCTTGGCAGGGTTCATGGCAAGAATAGGAGAGCAAAGATGTGACCAGGTAGAGAGCTATCTGGCAACTGAGAAATTTTACCACAACATGTAACCCAGCAGAGCTGTACGTTTAAATAGTTTAGGCTCCAATAACCAATCAAGATATATGTACAATGAATATTACAAAAGGAATGAAACTATAAAAAAGAATGATGATAATCTAAATATTCTATTTAAATAGATATTAAATATCTTAGAATATTTTGAATAAATGTAAGGCGCATTAAAATTGATGTAGCAATATTTTAGCAACGTATTTTTTCTATATATTTTATTTTTACAAATATTAATGCATACGTAGGCATACAAATAAATTTTATTTTTAAAATTACAAATGCTTATGTAAGCTTAAGCATACATATGTTATATTTTATAAATACCATTAATAATTTTTTTTTTTTTTTTACTTTTTAATCTAAATTAGACAAGATCTTGGAGGTCGTGCTCGTAAAGAAGCTCAAGAACTCTTCTTGGTACTCTGTACAGGGATCTTTTGTCCTTTCCAATGCAATTTAGTAAATGTTGGGGAGTGGCCTCTTCGGTTTTGCACCTAGTGCACATGGGGAAGCTTTTGGCTCCCTCTTTATAGACTAGAGGGCGCAGGTGACCAGATTTCCATCTGGCCAACTGTGTCGATTCCCTTCTGTTTAGTTGGAGGGTCTGTTTTTTTGGGTTTTCTACCTGGTACCAAGGATGATGGAAACTATATCTATGGTTCCTTATTAGTTGTAGTTTCAGTTTGTTAATATGGTCTCTTGCTGAAAGGTAGGTCTCGGAGTTCACCGCATCAGGATGTCCAGCTGCTCCTTCCTTTGCCAATCTGTCGGCCTCCTCATTTCCAGGGACTCGCACATGTGATGGAATCCATTGTAGACTTATTTTGGTATTTTTATTCAGTTTGTTGATTTCTGTAGCAATGTTTTTGAGGAGTCTGTCTTGTGAATAGTAGCAGTTTTTAATTGCAAAAATGGCGGCTTTTGAATCTGTATAAATTATTGTTTTTAGTCTCATTTTTCTCTACGAGTTTTAGAGCTTGTAGTATGGCTGTTAGTTCAGATCTGAAAACTGACAAGTTCTTTGGGTTTTTGATTTTTCTTTTTATTTCCATACTATCTTTAAGGATGAGAACTCCACTGCCAGAGGAGCCATTATCCACCAGTGAGCCATCAGGGTATATCTGTATGGTCTCTGTCTGCTTTTTCAATCCTCTCCATAGCGAGGCTCCTGAGTAGTCCAGGGTGGTCGGCCCTTTTGGAGCATTCTTGCTCTAGATCCAGGTTGTAGGAGATTTCTGGTCTTTCTTTATATGGCGCATATTGGTTCTATAATAATAATAAATATAATAAATAATAAACATTATAAAATATCAGATACATTTTTAAGCATACAAATATATTTTTAATATTACAAATGCGTAAGCTTAAGCATACAAAAATATTTTATATTAAATAATACAAATCTATGCATACAATTATGTTATACGTATTTGATTAATAATTTACGTAGGTTACGAACTAACGTACTGTAAATAGGGTTACTGAGATTGATCCAGTGACCAATCAGCTTGTAAAAATACTTTCTGGGTATAGGACAAGGCGGCAAAATTACTGGAGAATTCGTATAAATGACTAAATCGAATAAAATTGCAAATATATCAACGTTTTCTACAAGAAAGATTTTGGATTTCTTAATTTTGTCACAGAATTCATTATTTAGAGATTGTAAGGTTTTAATTAAAATGTTATTTTTAGGGTAAGTACGAATTGAGAGCAAGAATTTTTCTAACTTCTCAACTTGAATCGTACTAGTTTCTTCTGCTTCCTTTCGATCGGTACACACAGACAGACATTCAATTATATATATATATAGATAGAATAGATTGTATCTAGAGGTTGAATGTAAGTGTTTCTTCCAAAGAGATTCTTCTGTTTTCATCCTCCATGCTGAATTCTAACGCTGGATCCCCAGAATTTCTCTTCTGTTGGTTTTGGAGTAAATTAATGAAGGAAAGCCTATTTATCTTCTTTTTTATTTATCTCCGATCCAATTAAACCTGGGCTCAATTGATGGAAATTTGTGGAAGTTTTTTTTATTTTCTGGCCTTTATTTCTCTTTGGTGGTGAAATATATTTTGTATATGATATAATTCCACATTTACATATAGCACACAGACAGAAATATTGTATTGAGATTTAATATGGAGTCGTATACATGCTTTCTACTCGAAGCCAAGGAGCAAAATAGGAAAAAGAAAATATATGATTCTATATATTATAATAATTACTAATCTTCAAGGAGATAGAGTGACACAATAAGTTTCTTTTCATACATGGTATATTCGGGCAATCCCAGTGTTTGTGCCCCGTCTGGAAACAGGTGAAGCATCTAGGCGTCCCGTCCGGCAGCATGAATCTTCTTGCTTTCTCCGTGGGCGTTTCGGTCCTTGGGTTTTGTCCTTGTTTTTGTTCCCACTCTTCCGCCGTCCTCGTAGTTGTTTCCGAACTCGTCGTTGTCCCTGCTTCCTTCCATCCCTTGTTCCATTTGTCCGCCTCGTTGAGGAATTTCGCCGCCTGTAGGAAGTCGGCCTCTTCTGGGTTCCGCGTGGTACTCCCTGAGGCTGCCAGTAGTAGGCAGTCTTTTGGAGCCAATGCCCACAATGCCTCCTTGTTTGAATCGAACGGCGAAAACTCACCTGCCGTCGCATGGGCCGTAATGAGGTTCATTAACTATTTCCCCGTAGCTTCCGTGGACTGGAGCCGTCTCATTTTCTTCAGTTCGTTACCCCTACTACGTGCCCGGCCGTCGTTCCTTGGGTAGCAAAGTTTCAGTGCTTCCAAGACGTCTTCAAGTGCGGCTGAAGGTTCAAACCTGCACTTGATAAATTCGCGGCCGTCAAGTGGACGCCGCCGTACTAAGGGCCTTCGTCCAGTCTCCCTTCGGTACCTTGCTCACCGTCAGCCACGTTTTGAACTCCTCCACGTAATCTTCGATATCTTCCTCCTCCGGGTTGAAACAAGGCGTCTCTCCGTAGCCGATACTTATGTTTGCGGCTTGAGGTGCTAGGCCGACACTGCTCTCCACCATGTGATGAGGCTGAAGTGGGAATGTAAATCTCAGTTTATTTGATGGTGGTAGGGCGTTGTCCTGGTGGGCTATGGTCACCAGGGTCTGTTCCAAGGCTGGGTTCGGGGTCCGGTTGCGGAGGGTCGTTCTCCGGTGCAGTCGTAGGCATTGTTGTTTCTGATACCAGACATCTTGCGGTCGCGGGTCAAGGAAGGAGAGATAAAAAAAAAATATATATATATATATATA